AATCCCTAAACCCCTAAACCTAAATCCTAAACCCTAAGCCCTAAACCCTAAGCCCTAATCCCTAAACCCTAAACCCTAATCCCTAAAGCCCTAAACCCTGTAGTTTCCTCTAAGTCCGGCAGGCCATGGGCCAGCGCCGGCCGCTCCCGGCGCCGCAGGCGCTGCCCGGATCGGAGAAGGCGAACCTCGGGGTTAAAGTCCGCCTTACAGGGTTTAGGGTAGGTAGTAGTATTAGGGGTACCCCTTAAAGGGTACCCCTTCTGAACCCTACTTCTGGCTCTCTTAAAAGGGACCTTATTGAGAGGGTCTATATCCCCAAGGGTCCCCCTAATCCTAGCTCCCAAAGGGAAAGTTTAGGGTTTTCGGGAAAGTTTAGGGTTTTCGGGAAAGTTTAGGGTCTAAGGGAAAGTTTAGGGTTGTAGGGAAAGTTTAGGGTTGTAGGGAGAGTTTAGGGTTTAGGGGGTAGGGTTTAGGGTTGAGGATTCAGGGTTTAGGGTTTAGGGTTTAGGGGGTTCCTGAAAGGGATCTCTAAGATTTTCTATAATGGTTCTATATATGAAGAAGGTCTATGTTAAGAGTGGGATCCTAAACATGACTAAGGAGTCTATGTTAAAATAGACTAGGATCCTAATTATGGGTTACGGTATGTTAAGGTTTAGGGTTTAGGGTTTAGGGTTTAGGGTTTAGGGTTTAGGGTTTAGGGTTTAGGGTTTAGGGTTTAGGGGTTCCTCCACTAAGGGATTTTTGGAAGATCTGGGTAGGGCTTTGGAGGGCTGTCGTGCTTAGGGTTCTAGGGTTACAGGGTTAAAGGGCTATAGGGTTCTATGGCGAAGGCCTGTAGGGTGACCACAATACTAAATCCCAAACCGTAAACCCTAAACCCTAAACCCTAAACCCTAAACCCTAAACGACCACAATAATTGAAGAGCTGCTGCTTCCATGCCAGAACCCGAAGCTCGAAAAGAGCTTCTCTTTGATGGATAGTTCTCTAACTGAGGGTCCCTTGTAGGGTCTTGTCACAAGGGTTTTAGGGTTTAGGGTTTTAGGGTTTAGGGGTTTAGGGTTTCGGGTTTAGGGTTTAGGGCTTAGGGGGGTCTTGTCATAAGGGTGCCGGACTCTATAGAGGACCTAAAAGGGGACCCTAATATAGAAAACTGCCCATATAACCGCCGAATTTACTGGGAATCCTGATCGTGCACCCTCAAGCCATGCCTTACTTGAAGTCGGGTGTACACTGTACACCGAAAGCGATGCGACGCTCTGAATTCTGTCCGCCGGCTACGCACCCCGCAGGTTCAAGACGTTACCTGCTGCAATTACTAGCGCTGAACCCTAAACCCGTAAAGCTCTAAGTCCCTAAACCCCTAAACCTCTTGCAATTCTTACCCCCGAACCTTCAACCCTAAACCCCTAAGCCTCTAAACCTCTTGCAATTCTTATCCCCGAACCTTCAACCCTGAACCCCTAAGCCTCTAAACCTCTTGCAATTCTTATCCCCGAACCTTCAACCCTAAACCCCTAAGCCTCTAAACCTCTTGCAAGTCTTATCCCCGAACCTTCAACCCTAAACCCCTAAACCCCTAAACCCCTAAACCCCTAAACCCCTAAACCCCTAAACCCCTAAGCCCCAAGCCCTAAACCCCCAAACCCAAAAACCCTTCGGAGGCCACGCACCTCCGGGGTCTCCTGGACTCCTTCCGACTGGGGAAGACCCAGACGCTGTCGATGGACCTCTCTGGGCCGGAGGCATCCCTTCCTTTTTTGAAGGGTCGTTATAGGCTCTAGGGTTTAGGGTTTAGGGTTTAGGGTTTAGGGTCCTTTTTGTTGTGTGGGTAGTTCTCTAAATTAGGCCCTTTTGAGGCTTCCCTTCCCTTTTTTGAAGGGTCGTTATAGGCTCTAGGGTTTAGGGTTTAGGGGTTTAGGGTCTAGGGTGGGTTTAGGGTTTAGGGTTCAGGCTAGGGTGGGTTTAGGGTCTAGGGCTTAGGGTTTAGGGTGGGTTTAGGGCTTAGGGGTTTAGGGTTTAGGGTTTATGGCGGGTTTAGGGTTTAGGGTTTAGGGTTTAGGGTTTAGGGTGGGTTTAGGGTTTAATGGTTTAGGGTTTAGGGTTGAGCTTAGCGCTGAAAGGGACTATCGGTTCTCAAAATGCGGGTGCCTTTGGGGCTCCTGTAAGGGATCTACGAGCAAGGGTGCTATAAGGGTTCTATGTGGTCAGTTCTCTAACTTCGGGGCCCTTGTAGGGTCCTTTTTCTAAGGGTGCCGTACTATATTGGGGACCTAAAATTAGGGACCAGAGAACTACCCAATATGGAGCCTTACGAGTAGTAGACTTCCAAAGGGTTACTTCAATGGGCGTAGGGTTTAGGGCTTGCCGATCTGGCAGAAAAGGAGATCACAAGACAAAGAGGCAATATAGGGCCTTGCTAGTACTTGTCAATAGGTTGCCTTATACCATTCAAGCCCTCTGACAAGGAACCCTAAACCTTATCTAGCCTTGAGCTAAACCCTAAACCTTCAAACCCTCCTTGAGACACCATGCAGACGGAAAAGGGCCCTTAAAACAAAAAAACCCTAAACCCTAAATCCTGCCCAATATGGCTTTGGAGTGCAAGCGCCAGAGAAGGCCCTTAACAAAACAAACTTAAATCCTGCACTGAACCTATAAAGCCTTTCGAAAAGCCTTGAAGCCCTGAGGCAAACCCGGCCCGGATCTGCACTACAAGCGGGTGGGCGCAGTCAGTACGGCCGTCTATGAGGACACCCTACCGGGTTAGGGTTTAGGGTTTAGGGTTTCCTACCGTCCCTTCAGGGTTTTGCGAGATTTCTTCTATTTTTGGGCGGGGGTTTTGGGATCTAGGATTCGGGGGTCTTGCTGATTGCGGGGTCTAGGGGTATGCTACCATGCAATTCAGCTCAACCCGACCAGCTGCCTCAAGCGAAAGGCCTCCCCCCGAACCGGAAACCCTTAAACTCTAAACCCTGCACCCTGATGGGGGGGGGGGGGAACCCTAACCCTAACCTCCAAGGCCTAGATCCTACACCTTAAACCCCGAACTCTAAACCTCAACCGGACCCCTAAACCCTAAACCCGAAATATTACCAATACTCGAAACTCTCAATCCAGGAAACTTCTTGGTTCTTGACTGGAGTCCCCCTGATGTCAGGGTTTAGGGGGATTGAGAGTTCCGAGGGCCGAAAAAAATTAACATAGGTATTTCGGTTTAGGGTTTAGGGTTTAGGGTTTAAGGTTTAGGGTTTAGGGTATTTTTGTATTTTTGGGGGTTCCCTATCATAGTATGATATACCGCCAGAACCCTCGTCTGACTGCTAAGGCCCCACATTGGCTCCAGCAATCCGAGGGATCCAGGGCATACGGGCCTTCATAATCCGGACAGGGCTTTTGGGTACGAATCCTTTTTGTTGAATATGGGTAGTCCTCTAAATTAGGGTCCCGCTTTTGGTCCCCAACATAGTACGGCACCTTTATAAATAAAAGGACCCTAAAAGGGACCCCCTAATTTAGAGAACTGCCCCTATTCTGATCTCCATGGCGGGATCCTGAGTTTATTCCTTGGTCGGTAGACAGCGGCCTTTGATGAAGAGTATACAGTCGCCTAAGCTAGCCTGGAACTCCAAATATCCCTTGTACCCAACCCTAAACCCTAAACC